TTTAAGATGCCAAAAATTCATTAATTTTTTAATTAAAAATTACTAAGGTAAGACTTAAGTAAAGTATACTATGAAAAAATCATTTCTTTAGAATTTTATTTCGCGAGTTATCCATATAAGTCGTTGAACTGATCATGTTCACTAACCTAAGATCTAGCAAAATTCTAAATCTTCATCAATGTGATCAATTATTACTTTAACTACTATTAATTTGGCAACTAGATGACAATTTTTTATAATTTTTTATTAACAAAAGTGATAAGGAAAAATTATAACTAAAGCGTAAAATAAAGAGGGAATTTATGTATTTCTCAGCCACTCACACCCTAAATTTTGGCATTGTACCTCAATGCAGATTCGCTTGAAGCACAAAGTAAACATGTTAAAATTGAAAAAAAAGGGAAAAAAAAAAACTTTTTTTTTTACGCTTGTTCGGCTATGAGCAACTGCATGATAAAGGATCTGTAATTCTGTTAGTATGAGGGATGTAGCAAATCATAATAATGGATGAAAAATTGAGTACTTATTTTTTATTTTTTTATTTTTTTTCATTTTAACCTATGTTACTTATTCAAATTTTGTTTATGTTTTTTTTTTAAATTTATTTTTTTGTTTTTTTAAAGAAACAAAAGGGACCAAAAATTTTTTTTTCAATTATAGTTAATGAGGGTTCATGAAGAACAACACCTCTTCCTCTGCCGAGCGCTAGAACAATTCTAAAATATGGTTTTAGACGTTGACCATTTATTTTAATAAATGGTACCATTTTTGGATTTTCTCATCTCCGAAGCCTCCATGCTGAAAAAAACCTGTTTGACAATAACAATTTGGACTGTCCATCATTGATTCTTATTTTATTCAGGAAAGAGATGCAATTTTGGAATTGTATAATAAACTTTTCTGTCCTGGTAGAGAAATTTTTTCATAAAATTGATTTATCATGAAAAATTTTGGTTGTTTTACTCTTTGAAATTTTTGAGTTTATGCTAGTATGCATCATTTTGAATTTCTTCTAACTCATTTATTTGGAGCAATCTGTTCTTACCTGCCGAGTCTGAGTCAAAATTTAACTGTTTTATTGCCCACATTGCTCGATGTTCCAACTCTACTGGTAGGTGACAAGCTTTCCCGAATACCAGTCTGTATGGTGACATCCCCAAATTGGCCTTGAAAGTTGTTCTATACGCCCACAGAGCATCACATAATTTTACAGACCAATCTTTTCTGTTATGATTAACTGTTTTTTCTAAGATTTGTTTGATCTGCCTGTTTGTGACCTCTACTTGTCCACTAGTTTGGGGGTGATAAGGAGTTGACAATTTGTGTGTGATTGAATATTTCCTCATCAGAGCCTCGAA